AAGAGGGCGCTGGGACTGGAACTGGAGTACAGACTGTTGTGAGATGCCATGTGGGTGCTGGAATCAAACCTGCGTCCTCTGCAAGAGCAGCCAGCACTCTTAACTCCTGAACCCCCCTCCAGCCGCTCCCCTTTCTAAAACTGAGTACACTGCAGGAGGCAGCCAGCGGGGCAATCATTAATCGCCATGTGCAGCTGATGGTCAGTATTTTAATGTTTCTGGCTTTCAGAATTGCAATTTTTGGGACTTTAGAATTTAGGATTTAAAAGTTACATTTAATTTGTGTGTAAGTGTGCATATGTGTGCATGTCACAGTGTAGGTCAGAGGACAACTTGCAAGTGTCAGTTCTCTCCTTAAAAGGAGTTGGGTTCTGGGGAATCAGACTTTTTGGCAAGCATCTTCACCCACTGAGCCATATCGCTGACCCCAACTGTAGGTTTTTAAACGTTGCATACTTTGAGCTTTCAGATTCCAACATTCAGGATTATATTTTTTGGGACCAAGACTGGATGTATATCTGAATGTCTGTGTATACATACACTTGCACACATGTGACATTTGCCATTTTGATCATTTTTAAGATGCGTTTCAGTGGCACTGATTACATTTGCAATATCATGTACTATTGCTATGGCTACAATGTCATGGGACCACCAACCACTGTAGTCCATTAACTTTGTACCTTTTTAAGCAAAAGCTTCCCATTTTCTTTCCCTAAGCTCTGACAATATCTATCTGTCTGTCTGTCTGTCTGTCATTGGCAGGGTCTTGCTATGTAGCGCAGGCTAGCCTTGAATTTACCATCCTGCCTCAGCCTCCCAAAGGCTGGGGTTATAGATATGCACACCCCTCATCTCCTTCTCTCCCTCCTCTTCTGTAAGATTTGCCTGTTGTAGGAACCTCCCATAAGTGGAATTATACAGTATTTGTTCATTGTGCCTGGCTTATTTCACTTAGCAAACTGTCTTCAGGTTTCATCTGTGTTGGAGCATGTGTCAGAGCTTCATTCCCTTTATTGGCTGATTTATTTCCACCCTATGGGTAGACCACATTGTATAAATCTATTCATTTGTTTATCACTCCCTTTGTGAGCCTCAGAGTACCCAGGTAAGCCTTTTCTGTATTTGGTTTCCATGACTGGTGCACTCAGGAGGTACCTCTGCTGTCCCTGTACCAGCTCAGGGGTCCCATTTCACTTCACAGAGGTGTTCTGCTGTGACAGATCCCTGACAGCTAGGACAAGGCATAATGAGCTCAGGGAGAAAACCAGGAGTGCCCCCATCTCTCAGACCTGTTCCTGCAGTGTGCCCAGGCATGCCCACCCTATACCTTGCCCATGTTGCCTTCCAGAGTGGCCGGCTCCTAAAACCTTCCTTGTCCTTCCTATGTGTGGACTCAGTCCTCTTCTGGACTCTAGGGGCAGACATGACCTGTAATCCATTCATCTTCTCCTCTCTTGGGGCCTGCACCTCACAGTGAAGATATTACACCCGAGAGAGCTTCAGGCCTTGCTGCCCAGTGCCCATATGAATCATTCCTTAATCCATTTATAGAAAGGAAGTTGATGCTAAAGTAGTGAAAACACTCTACTGAGAGGGTTTATTGCCCAGGTTGATGTGAAAAAGCAATACGTTACTATCTTAGTATTTTTGTTTGGATTATTAATGAGGTTGGCCATTTTTTTCATATGCCAGTTAGTCATTTGCAAGTATGTCCACCTTTGTACTTTGTATGTGTTGTGTAGGTGTGTGTGTGTAGGTGTGTGTGTGTGTAAGTGTGTGTGTAGGTATGTAGGTGTGTGTGTGTAGGTGTGTGTATAGGTGTGTGTGTGTGTAGGTATGTAGGTGTGTGTGTAGGTGTGTGTGTGTAGGTATGTAGGTGTGTGTGTAGGTGTGTGTGTGTAGGTATGTAGGTGTGTGTGTGTAGGTGTGTGTGTGTAGGTATGTAGGTGTGTGTGTAGGTGTGTGTGTAAGTGTGTGTGTGTAGGTATGTAGGTGTGTGTGTAGGCGTGTGTGTGTGTGTGTGTAGGTGTGTAGGTGTGTGTGTAAGTGTGTGTGTGTAGGTATGTAGGTGTGTGTGTAGGCGTGTGTGTGTGTGTGTAGGTATGTAGGTGTGTGTGTAGGTGTGTGTGTAGGTATGTAGGTATGTGTGTGTGTAGGTATGTAGGTGTGTGTGTGTATAGGTGTGTGTGTGTAGGTGTGTGTGTGTGTGTGTAGGTATGTAGGTGTGTGTGTGTAGGTATGTAGGTGTGTGTGTGTGTAGGTGTGTGTGTGCAGGTGTGTAGGTATGTAGGTGTGTGTGTATAGGTGTGTGTGTGTGTGTAGGTGTGTGTGTGCAGGTGTGTAGGTGTGTGCACATGTGGAGGCTAGAGGTTAATGTCTAGGCTGCCCTCAGTTGCTTTCCACCTTCGTTTTTGAGACAGCATCCCTCACTGAATCCAGACCTCACCTTTGGTTAGACTGGCTGGTCAGCAAGTTCCAGGGATCCACTTGTCTCCTCAGAGCTGGGTTACAGGTATGTGCTGCGGTGCTCGGCTTTCACATGGGTCTGGGGATCCAGGCTCAAGCTTGTACAACAATCACTTGACTAAGTCAGCTCTCCCAGCACCTCAGCACGAACAATTTGAACTTTTTCTCATGAAAAGCAATGGGTAGTGGCTGTGGTTTTGCCTCACTTGGAAAACTGTCTTCCTAAGCAAGCGTGAAGCCCTGGGTTCAGTCCCCATAACCTGCATAAGCTGGGTGTGGGAGTGCACACCTATAGTTCCAGCACTTGAGAAGTGGAGGAAAGAGAATCAGATGTTCAAGGTTGTCTTTGATTACATAGTGAGTTTGAGGCCAACCTGGGCTACATGAGACCTCAAGGCCAAGGTGATTAGGAAAGGGTCTTTATAGGGGCAACCCACCCCCCTTCACTGTGGGCTTTGGCCCTGTAGGTGGGTACACTTGTAGAGGAGGCACAGATTGAAAGTTCTGCACTCGGCCCCAAAGGCTATTCTCAGTAGTGAGGCTGGTGATAGGAAAGTCAAAATCGCCAGACATGGATGAACAGAAATGGTGCTGTAAACACAAGACAGCATTTTGTGTTTTCTTTGACTGCCTCTGTCCAAGGTCTTGTGGAAGCCATAGCCCATCCTTCTGGTAGCTGTGCTCTGAGCACTACTGGGACCATCCCTTCTCAGTAATGGGACGCTGCAGCATTGATTTCTGTACTTCTGGAATTGTCCTGCTGAAAACGCCCAGATACCAAGCTACTGCTTTGGCCAGAAGAGGTATAGCTGTCCCTGCATGGCTTACGGTGGGAGGTGGGTGGATATCATTGTCTATATGCACCTAATTGTCTTCTAAATGAACTGGTCGTGAAGGTCACGTGTGTTAAGGCAAAGCACTAACGGACATGTACTGACATTCTAGCACAATGTTGCTTATTGTTATATTATTTTAAAAATCATTTATTTATTTTTCAATGCTGGGAATGGAACCCAAGACCTTGTGCATACTTTACCACTGATCTATGTTCCTAGGCCTGGTTTTCATGTATTTTGTGTGTGTGTGTGTGTGTGTGTGTGTGTGTGTGTGTGTGTGTGTGTGTGTGTGTTTTGAGACAGGGTCTCACCCTGTGGCCACTACGCTTGCCTTCATCTCATGACAATTCTCCTGCCTCAGCCTCTCTTGTCCTGGGATTGCAGGCATGAGCCGCCATGTCTGGCTTCTCAATTTGATTAATCTCTATGAATGTAGCTTACTACTCTCTCAGGGATGTGGCTCGGCTATGTTCCACCCACTTGAAGGAAGAGGAAACACTTGTTATAATTAAGTTTCCCAGGAGTTTGTAACAAGATTAAAAAAAAGTACAGTGTGTTGGCAAGCAAGGAAACAAGCAGGATCCCACTGTTCTATCACTGTGACAACCACAGAGAAGGAATTGGGACCGGAGGGGAAGCACGCCAAGGCATTATTGGCTGTTTCCGGAAAGCGGAATACTAGGTGGGCAGCCTTCTCCCATTGTGTCTACTCTCTCGGTTGTCTTCACTGGGGAAACACCTGTTGTCATGATGGATTTCATTTATTAGCGCAAAGGCACAGGCATCAGCTAACATGTAGAGTAAACCTAAGTGTGTGTCCATGCCCAGATGGATGGATAAATGAAATGCAGTCTACACACACAATGGAAAACCATGCAGCTGTGAAGAATGGAAGCCTGGGCTTTGCAGGGCCATGGGTGGGATTGGAGGATAGTATGTGAAGTGGAGTCAGTGAGATACAGGAAGAAAAAGATTCTTCCCTGGCCGGGGAATCTTTAAAAAGCTGATTTCAAAGGCGATACTGCAGCAGTGGTTACCAGATACTGAGAGGGATATGAGGGAGGAGGGAAGGGTGGGAAGGGAATGGTTAATGGGTGCAGGGGTGCAGTCCTTTCAAGATTTGTCTTTGGTTTTATGCCTCCTACCGCACCCCTTGTAAACAGGTGCACGTACAGGCGCCTGTCCACAAAGGCCAGAAGACTGAGTCTGATCCCGGAGCAGGAGTTACACATGGTCCTGAGCTGTCTGATGTGGGTGCTGGGAACTAAACTGCAGTCCTCTGCAAAAGCAGCAAGTGCTTTTAACTGCTGAGCCATCTCTCCAGCCCACATTCTCTCTTCCTTCCTTCCTTCCTTCCTTCCTTCCTTCCTTCCTTCCTTCCTTCCTTCCTTTCTTTTTTTTTTGAGAGAATCTCTCATTGATCCTGGATCTCACTAATTTGGTGAGACTAGCTGGCCAGCAAGCCCCAATCACCCACCCGTCCCACCTCTCCATCCCACCTCTGGGATCGTAGGCACACCCCATCATGCCATGCTTTTGAAGTGGACGCTGGAGATCTCAACTTGCCTAACAAGCACTTCACTGGAAGAGCAACTGATGTCCCAGACCCCTGACACTGTTCTTTTAAACAATATTTATTTTCATTAATGTGTCTGTATATGCCTTCATGTCTGTATGTGCATCATATGTGTGCAGGTACCATGGAGGCCAGGAAAGAGCGTTGGACCCCCAGAACTGGAGTTTCAGGCTGTTGTGAGCTGTCTGATGTGGGTTCTGGGAACCAAACTGGGTCTTCTGGAAGAGCAGAAAGCACTCTTAACTGCTGAGCCAGGGATCAGCCTGCGCTCCATTGTTCTTCTGAATGAGGCACCAAACAGGTCTTCTAGCATGTGATTCTGGTACTTTCTAAAAACGACCCCTCCCACCCAAGCAGTGCAGCAGCAAATGGGGTGGTTGAAACTGGGCAGCCTGAAGGGGTTTGCAAGGCTTGAAAAAGAGCTCGTCTCCTCCACAGCCTGCTTCCGTGTTTGTTTTAAAACCAGCACAGGTTAGTGTGGCAGCTGCACGGGCTCTCACTCCGCCGCCGCTGCAGGAGTGTGAATTACCACAGCTTTTCCCAGGGACAATCTGGCACATCTCAAGAAGAGCCTCCTGCTTCTGTACAGCCTTTTAATGGGGCTGTTCTACAACAGGGATTTCTTCTGAGGAAATGACCCTGTGTGTCTAAAAATAGAGCTGTAAAGTCCATCACAGCAGAGCTTTGAACAATAAGCATTGAAAATAATGTAAAGGGGTGAGTGAGATAAATCACGGTGCGTTTCTGTAATGGGATGTTGTGTTTCTGGGGAATATTAAGTAAAGAAATTATTATGCTGTCATGAGGGAAAAAACTGATATAAAGTGATACATATATAATCAATGTGATCCATTTTGTATTCAAAATACGTATTTGCTAATTAAAAATAATGGGAAATTACACACAAAATTGGTAACTCTTCCTCTGTTTCTGGATGGTAGAATTGGGGTGATTAATTTTTTGTGTGTTGTTCAATCTTTTCATTTATCCAACAGGTGGGTCTTAGCTGTCTTGCTCCTGTAATGGATAGAGATCAGCAAGATGTGTTGGGCCAGCCTGGGCTGCTCAAAGCAGGGGCTTGGCCCTGGGTATACCAGATGTTCTTTACAAACCCAAGACAGTGGCCTAGACCTTGGGAAAAGGAGTAACACAATAGCTTGGCCATGCCCTAGGAGGGCTTTGAAGTGGCTCACTGTTTAATCTAATTGGATATGGGAAAGGAGGACATCCTTGTTCTGGCCTTCTTGAGTGTTATGTGACTGGAGACTTTTACTCACATTTTTCAGTGAGTTATCTATCCACCCATCCATCCTTTAATCTATTTATTCATCTACACATTCACTTATTCACCCATCCACCAATTCATTTACTTATCACCCATACATGTACCTCTCCACCTACCCACTTATCCATCTAGCTGTCAAACACACCTGTCTGTTCTCCAGCCATGCTCTTATCCATCATTCCTTCATTCACCTACACAGCTACCCACTCATGTACCAAACTACTCATTTATTTGCTTATATAATTGTTCACTCATTCATTCACTCACCTCTTCACTCATTATTGATCTACTTAGGTGTATACATCCCCCCTCACCCCCACACCATCTATCCACCCATCTGAACCCTCTATATACCCATCAATCTTCTATTCATCTACTCTCAAATCTATCTACCCACTCACCAGTCCATCCATCCTTTTGTCTCTCTATTCATTCTTCAAACCTTGACTGAGGACCTGTAATTTCCACACGTTGGAAGGTTGGAAGTTTGGATTGGGTGGTGCCAAAATAAAGAACACATTCCCTACTCCCAAGTCAACCTAGGTTGCTTCCATCACTCAAATAAAGAAGTGTTACTGGCAGCCGTGGTGTGGCCTGGAAAACAGTGATAACCTGGGTCTCCACATCTGGACTTTAACTGAGAAAGGAACTAAAGGCAGGTGGGTTTGCAGAGAAATAAAAGCAAAGTTCTCTCTCTCTCTCTCTCTCTCTCTCTCTCTCTCTCTCTCTCTCTCTCTCTCATCTTTTAAAACAGGGTCTCATGTAGCCATGAGTGTATTGATTGGCCTTGAATTTACTATATACAAGGGGAGAATAATCTTGATCTTCTGATCCTCCTGCCTCTACCTCTCCAGTGCTGGGATTACAGGTTTGTGTCACTAAGCCTGGTTTGTGCAGTGCGGGGATAAACCTAGGGCTTCATGTATGCTAGGCAAATTCTACCAACTTATATCCCTAGCCTGGGGATAAGCATCTTAATAGGTAAAGGCAGTTGGAAGCTTCCTCTGATTTTAGGACAAGGAAGAGGCTTCACATTGGGCCTTAACCTGATTCCACAAGACCTGGGGGAGGGGGGAAGGGGGCGGGGCCTTAGGATACAGAGGGGTGTGGTGTGGTCATGGTCAAAGTTCTCGACAAGCACAGATGCATAGTGGGAGCTCTCTGAATCCGTGAGTTGCCCTATGGAGGCCAACATGCCTTGGAAACCAAATGGCTTTTCTAGGAAAGGCAAAACTTCCCAGATGACTGAGACCAGTTACGTGAAAGGGTGTCTCTGACAAGTTTAAATGTCACCTGACAAGTTTAAATGTCACCTGGATAGAGAAAACAATTCTTTAGCTTTTGTTAGGGAGATATTTTTTACCTGCCGTCCTTGCTTTGAATTTTCTTTTGCATTGATTGGCTTATTCCGTGTGTATGTGAGAGGGGTCCATGTGCGTATGTGGAAGTCAGAGGAAAACCTTGGTTTTCTTCTAGCACTGGGATCAGACTCCGATTGTCAGGCTTTGTGGTAAACGCCTTCCTCCACTGAGCCATCTCCCAATCCTTCCAGCATCTTTCTTGCTCTCCGGGTGTGATTCAAATGATGTGTTGATACTTAAGCTTTTAGAAATGTTTCAAGTTTCTTCTAGGGTCCTCCTCCTGTTCTTCCTCCTCCCCTTCTTCCCCTCTCGTCCTTCTCCTCCTCCTTCGACAAGTCTCCCTCTGTAGACCGGAATGACCTGGGAATCAACTCACGGCATTCCCCTGCTTCAGCATCCCAAGTGTTGAGATGACAGACATAAGTTGCCATGTCCAACAGGACTCCTTTTCAGAGCTGTAAGAGTTCATGTTCTTGCCACATTGCTGCACTTGAATATTCCAGAAGTTTGCCTCTCTCATTAGTCAAGCATTCGTTATTTTAAAGTGTATGTCCCTGACTCTTGAAGAGGTTGAGAATCTTTTTTTCCCTTTATTCCTTTCTGCAGTTTACTGCTCATTTGCCCCTTTTCCTCCTTGGCTCGATCGCTCTGGTTCAGGTCATGTGCCTTTTGTCCCCTTTGGCGAAATCTAAAAAACAAATAGACATCTTAGAGACAGCAGTGAGTTTATTCAGGAGAGCATTGTGTGCCTCCATGACCTACGTGTGTATTCAAGGAGGCTGAGGCGGGTCGGGGAGCGGGGGTGGGGGATGTTTTTAAAGGCTAAATGAAGAAGTCAGAAGTTATTTTTACTCGGTCACCCTGGACTACAAGGATCAATGGCAAAGCTGGTGTCAGGCCAAGGTCATGGAGTTATCAGGAAGACACCCTGTGGAAATAGTTCTGTGGAAGGTTATGGTTGCCTTTGTGGTTTTGGCAGAAGCCTCAGTTGCACGTGCCTCCTTACACGCATGCCCACTTCAAGCCTCCTTAAAGCCTTCGGGGTTGGCACCAGGGACCCTCTTTGAGTCTGGCGACCTTTGCGCCCTTTTCAACCATTGTCTTTGGAACAAGGTGTTTGGTCCCTCGCTGGCTCAGCTAGGAGCCTTAAATTTGCTCTGTGCTATGGCAAGCTTATGACTTCACCCACTCCCTGCTCTTTTCCACGGAGGATGAGAGGCAGCTGCTTTACACACAGGTGTTGGGTTGCATCCTCTCCCCTTGGCCACTCCACGATGCCAGAGATTGGGCTTCATCAGACTTTGTGTTAATCCCTTCTTTGAATGGAGGACTTAGGGTGTTTCCATCTATGTTAGTCAATCTTACAAGCTTTTGAGAAATGCACCTTTGTAGCGCAATTGTTTGGTAGAAGATTAGCATTAGAGCTGACGTCCCCCACGGGGGGTGAGTTAACATGTGTAGGGGGGTGGTGGTGGGGGGGCACCTCAGTCAAATGACTAACAAAACAAATTCCAGCCGGGGGACATACTGAGAAACAACTAGCCTGTCCTCCTTAGAGCTGCTGGTGCCAAGAGAGATAGACAGGCAGAGGATCTGGTCCAGACGGACGGAAACTGGAGTTCTGACAGCTAATATGATATGTTCTCGCAGGCTGGATCCTGAGACAGAAAAATGTTGCTCTGAAGGACTTTCTTGGGACAGCAGGGAATCTGTGAATAGGCTCGATGATAACGGTATTATGTCGAAGTGAAATTTTCTGAGTTTGGTGATTACAGTGTGGTTACACCAAAGAATGTCTCTGTTCTTATACAGATCAATACTGAGGCATTTAGGGGTGATGGGTCATGATTCTGCAACTTATTTTCGATGAGCTCAGAAAAAAAAAAAGCGGGTCTGGGTTAGGCAGTGAGGTGGCTTATCAGGTTAAGGTGCCCCCAGCTGAGCCTGAAGACCTGTTTTCAATTCCCTGGACTCACATGGTGGGAAAAGAGAATCACACAGGCACGCACGCATGCGCGCGTGCACACACACACTCTAAATAAATAATGTAATAAAACAGAGGGTGGGGTCTAAGTGTTAGCAATTGAGGAATATAGATGAAAGGTATATTAATACTTACCATACTTTTTAAAAGGTAGATTAACATTTTTCAAGACGAAATGGCATTTCTTGTGTTAGGTAAGAGGATGGATATTGTTGAGGTTCTGTTGAAACTACGGTCTTTTTCTGGAATAGTCCAGGTTGGAGGACAGAGCTGGCATCTGCTACAGCAGACAGGCCAGGGATTAGCAGGGACTCAGTATCTCTGTCTGCATCTCCTGCGTGAGTTCTGCAGATGAGGAGCATGTGGGTTGCTCTTGGAATCTTATCATCGCCTCTGCCATCTACCCACTATCTGCTCAGCTCAAACCACGTTCAATCTCAAGGGCGTGGCTGCCGCTTAGAGAGGTACACGTGGCCGTTTTCTGGAAATCTGACTGGCTTGGTGGTTGTTCCCTGACACTCTTTCAACTCTCAAGTTTGTGTCAGTGCTGGTTGTGGTTTCAGTGACTCCTGGTGGGTGTTCACACTGATCGCACAGCTGGAGACCCCTTTGTCTCCAGGTTTACAGATGTGCTGTCAAGAAAAGCCTTTGTTTGCCAGGTGTGAAACTCGTGTTAATAAAGATTCGAGGTTCCCAGTGCATGGACATGATGGGTACCTGACAGGTGACAGGTGTCACAGGAAACAGGAAGTCCAGGATCTGTGTGTGTGTTACCTTGACCCTGACAGGGATCACTGAGCACATTCACTGCAGTGCCCTTGAATTACAAGCACTGATTGCGTTTGTATGTGTGTATGTTAGTGTGTGTATGCACACGTGAGTGCAGGTGCATGTATGTGTGTGCGGGTTAATGTGTGTATGCACTTGTGAGCAGGTGCCTGTGTAGGTGTGGAGGCCAGAGGCCGATGTTGGGTGTCTTCCTTATCCTTCCCTGTATGAAAAAAATGAGGACATGACTGCTCCTAGGTATGGTTGAGGAGAAGGTTTAGTGTAGATATGAGGGAGAAAATAGCCAGAGCTATCTGGAAGGGTCGAGACTGAACATGACCAGCAGACTGAACCTGGCCGTGTGTGTGTGGGTGTGTGTGGGGGGACAGGGTGGGAGGATGAGAGAGGAAGAGAAGAGAAGAGAGGAGGAGGCCAAGAGAGATGGAGCCAAGAGGCCAAGAGCACTAAGAGGCTAAGAGAGAA